AATACATATACGACAGGTGTGGTTGTTGGTCATTTTAAACGTTTATTTTGTATTTGCATGTTCCCCTTCCCGTTGGAGTTGTGAGCCGCCCTGAGTCCCCTCAGGGAAAAGGGCGGCCTACAAATATTAATAAAATCTCAAAAATCTCAAAATCTATGTGAACATGTAATTCTGAAAGTTCATCTCTAGTGGTTGAGAAATTCATTCTGCAGCAGCCTAGATTTCAACCAGGAGAATAAAATATGGGCCTGAAGATAATGGAGGGGACGACTGGCTGAACTGGAGAAAATGCTGTACAAGAGTGACATGAGAAAAGGTCAAGTTAAAAATTGTGACAGTGAGATTGAAGCGCCTTCCTTATACCTGTATTTTCATTACACAAAGGTAAAAGAGGCGGGGCTGCAATTAAACTGCTGAAAATAATATTTTTTTAAAAAAATCCCACAATGAACCCTGCTGGTCGGGGGAGCGGACTCTGATTATAAGGAGTAATCTATTCCCCTTTCCATTCTTACCTTGTTTTATTGCAGGGGTGGGAAACTATGATCCCTTTATGACTTGTGAACTTCAACTCCCAGAATTCTTCATCCAGCCAGGAAATCTGGGAGTTGAAGCCCACAAGTCATAAAGGGGCCATAGTTCCCGACCTCTGTTCTATTCTCTAATCTCCCACATCCCTCATTTGTATTTACATGCTTACTCTGAGACGGCCCAAAGTTTTTCTATCATCTGGATCAATATTATGCGGCAAGTCAAGTATACTTCAACGCCACTCAATTAATGCCTTTATTGCAGTCATTCTAATGCACTGCACAACACATGAAAAGATAGAAAAAAAAAACCCTGCAGCAGCTGTGTGAAAGAAGGAACTTAAGAACCCAAAACAGGGAAATATATATATGTGGTTGGCTTAGCAACAGCCAGCTACTTTTAACATGGGTGCATAAAAACTCCAGCAACCAGCCATTTGGCTAGGATTGTGTGTTTCAACACTCACATCCTCAACTTATGTCTGTAATTGAGCCCTCACATTTGGTTGTAACGCATGCTGATCATAAAATGACCACTATGTATCTGTGCCCAATTTTACAATATAGTCATTAAGCAGATGTGATCATACAGCAAACAAATTGGTCATAAAGTAATGCCTGATTGTAAAGCAACGTTTGTGGGTATTGCGAACCCATTGATTGCTATGGTTTTTATTTTTTGTGGCGCCAAAAACTGGAAGTTAATGCCAGGATCTGGCAAAAACATCATAAATGGCAGTCACCTGACCACAAGACTGTGCAAACAACTGTAAATGTGGACTGGTTGCCAAGTGTCCAAAATGCATTCATGTGGTCAGTGGTCTCCTAAAATAGTATGGAATGCAATATCTCTCCATTCACAATTGTTTGAAGTGGCAGCAGGGAGGTGGGGAATTGATTAGGACAAAATATCTGACAATATCTTTGATACATCAGAGGAATCCATTCTTTGAACCCATTGCTGAGCTTCAGGAAAAGAAAAATGGAGGACAATACTTGAAATGCTCCTTTCTGGGCCGCTGTGTGATTTGAACACACTTCCTCTTAGAGAGACATTTGCATTGTGATGGGAAGTGACTCATGACTGACATTCAAAATGCTGCATCACTGGAGCACCTGGGAGAACAGTTGCCCTTGACCCAGGCAGCCCTTCCATGGATCAACTCCCCAGCCATGCTGTCAATACAAGGATGAATGATGGGCAGAACACTGAAAGATCAAATGCAGTGGTTAGATGGAAGGAGCATATTTTTGGTTTCCGTTTTGATGACTTTTGGGAAAGTATATGTTGTAGGTTTTAAGAATATCTTTGGTTCACTCTTGCTACAAAACTTCGGAAGCCGAAGACTGGAGGTGTAGGGGGAAAAATAAATTAATCAGTTGCCTGAGACATAAATTCCACTGACTTAGCAGAACTTGCACCCTCTTACACATACATAGGATAGGACTCTAGTATCCATGTTGGTAATTATAGACTAGCATAGATCCCAGATAGATCGGGCTTCATAGCAATTGCTTTGTGGAAATTGTAGCTTATTTAAGAGTCACACACAGTTCCTTTAGAGCAGTGGTTCTCAATTTTCCCAATGCCGCGACCCTTTAATACAGTTCCTCATGTTGTGGTGACCCCCAACCATAAAATTGGTGTCTCGGTTCCTAAGACCATTGAAAATATGTGTTTTCCGATAGTCTTAGGCGACCCTTGTGAAAGGGTCGTTCAACCCCCAAAGGGGTCCCGACCCACAGGTTGAGAACCACTGCTTTAGAGGATGAAATTGTATCATCAGACAGAATTGCTGCTGCTTCTGTTTTAGATAAATAGATAATTTTGCACACATGCCTGAAACCTGCTGCTAAAATAATCATTCTCCTAGGCTGATGACAGTCCGTATTTCAATCCTCTGAAATATTCATCAATAAGGGAAGAGTTGCTGATTGCGATACTTCTTTTCTTTTCTTTTCTTTTTTTTCCTAACACCGGGAGGAGGCAGACATTTGAAGCCACCAAGCAAAGCGGGAGGGAGAGCTTCGCTTTTCGCTGCCGTTTCCCCCTGATTGCGCTATTGAGAGACCTTTCAAAGGGGTGGGGGAGACCCTTGGAAATGCACGAAGGGCTTCCTGTAATGCCTTTCTGATCGGTTTCTCCCTAGGGAAGGGGGCCAGGCGGAAGTGGGGGGGGGATTAGCTTGCTGTGAAATTGGGGGAAGCAGCTCCGTTGGTTCTGGCGCTGAGGGGGTTGACTGACAGTCTGCAGTGCAGTGGAGTTGGCGGGGCTCCCTATATGGCTAAGGATTTAGCTAGATGCTAATGCCAATCGGGAAAAAGAGCTGAGGTGAGCCTGCGAGCTGCCGCGGAAGAGGCGATCGGAGGCTGAGCAGAGCGCGCCCCCCTCCCCACTTCCAGAGCCATGGCTGAAGGGGGCGAAGGAGGGGAAGACGAGATACAGTTCCTACGAACTGTAAGTATCCATGGGTGCATCCGTGTCGGTGCTTCTAGATCACGGTGCTTCTAGATTGTTTTCTCCTCCAGGTCATCTGATCGGGTTCTAAATAAGGTTTCTCCCCAGTCCCTGGGCTCTTTATTTTTTTTGGCTTAGGAGTGAGTCTTGGGGGAAGTGGAGAATCTTATTAACAGACCATTCGGAATCAGACCATCCCTTCGGACATTCTGTCTCGCCTCAGATCTGCCCACCGACCTCCTCGGATCGAGGGGGCTGCCTCCAAAGCGAGAGTTGGCTTGGCCATTCCCAGGGTTCCCTCCGGAGCATCCTTGCTCAACTTTGTACTTGGGCTTTTGGAAATGCGGCACCGCCAGATCCCTGCCCTCTGAAACTTCTCTCCGGGTTTCTGCTGCTTCTCTGCGAAATCCGAGAAGGTTGGCAAGGGGCAAGAGGATCCGGGCTGGAATTTGCGAGCAAACCTTCTTGCAACTTCCCACCCGTTTCCGAGCAAGTAGAAAGGATGCTCTTGCCTGAACGCCAGGGCTTCCAAAGTAAACCAGTGTCGTTTCCGAAGCTTCCTTTAAGGAATGCAGCACTTTTCTGAGAGAAGGAGTGTTGGGCAGGGAAAGAACCGAGTGTGCTTCTCGCTCGGAATGCTCCCAAAAAAGAACTTTCACGTCCTGCCATAAGCTTTTAAAACAAACTGGAACGAAGAATCTGAGCCACACGTTAACTTTACTGGGCTGTGGTGGGAAAGACTCCTCTCTCCAGGTGAAGTCCTCCGAGGTTGACGTATGGTTGGGGAAGAGTCCCCTGCTTACTTCTCCATTTTTCACATTCCCGAGGAGCAACTCCATCAGGGTCAAGTAGCCCTGTTGAGCTTCTAGTGTAACTTTTTAAAGGTGGATTTTCCGGCATAGATCTTCTCCATATCCAACGTCGTTGTCAGCTGTTATTAGAGGAAAGGGATAAGAGAGATGTGATGAAGGTCCCACGGCTCTTGGGGGAAAAAAGATGCCAGCTGTGATCAAATATCACGCTCGCTTGCTTCCTGAAATCTCCTGATGGAAGAGCTAATTTCGGTGAAGAGCACTTTTGTTCTATAACATTTTCAGTGGCTTTATGAGATGGAACAGACACCTGTCTATACAGGGAAGAAGCTAAATATATATTCTAGGCGTTAGATGATTTATTGCATTTAATATCGTACTTTACTTCTTTTTACTATTCCTTTCTGGCTTGGCACTTTCCAAAGTATATCTTTGATGCAAAATTCTTCCAAACAGCTAAGACCTTCATTTAATATCCCCACTGAATAATAAAGCCAAAAAGCTTCCCCCCTTCCAGACAAATGATGTATATCTTCTGCTTCCTGAAGTGGCTTCTGATGAAATGGTTATCTGTATTCTTTACCCAGCATGTAGAAACTATTCCCATCTTTCAGTGAATTTGGAATATTTTTTTCCTGTTCAGCATATGATGTAAAGATATACTTGCTTTTAGGAAGCTTCTTCTTGGCACTGGTATATAGTGCAGAGATTGGACTGCTGTTTCTCCATTAACAGTACTCTCTTCTTCCTCTCCCTGCTCGTTCCAGTCTTAATTTCCATAAAATCTAAACTGTAAGCATCCTTTCCCTCCCCCATATCAGAAAACTTACTCAGTGAGAGGTAGTGACTTCCAAGACTTTTTTTTTTNGTGAGATTTGAACCGCTGAACTGCAGATAACAGTCAGCTGAAGTGGCCTGCAGTACTGCACCCTAACGACTGCGCCACCTCGGCTCAGTTTTAATAGTGTAACAGTCTAAATGCAGATTAATATAGTACAGGCCACTATTTCTCAATCTCAGCAACTTCAAGATGTGTGGACTTCAACTTCCAGAATCTTCCCAATTCTGAGTGTTGAAGTCTACACATCATTAAGTTGCTGAGATTGAGAAGCACTGGTATACACTATAATATAAGACCACTATACACTGAGCTATAGCACATTATACCATAAGACAGTACATCAGTACATCCCCAAACCCTGGTCCAAGGCTTGGCACCAGTCTGCGGCATGCCAGAAACCAGGCCACACAAAGACCCATCTGTGGGATGCAGGCAGTACACGAAACCATGCTCACCCCTCCAGTCCTCAGAAAAACCTGTCTCCCTGTAACCAGTCCCTGGTGCCCAAAAGGTTGGGGGCCATTGCAGTACATGATATATTTCCAAGTGAAATCAATCTATGGACTCAAGAAGTCCCCATCCCTTTTCATAACCTATAGGTTCTACTCCAAATGGTACTGACTACAACACTTTAAAATTGGTGGGAAATAAAACTATAGAGTAGCCCCCAAGAGAACTTCTCACTCCAGTGTGATAAAATAGTTTTCTTTGATGGGCTGAGCATTTCTTTCACCTTAGCAAAGATATTTTCAGAGGTCACATTCCTCTGCATCAATTGCAAAGTCTGGCCCAAAGCCACTGCAACTGAGCAATGAAGATGGGAGCTGCTTTGCTTCCCAGAGGAGCACTGCAGAGATCCTGCTTTCAAATTTTTAACCTGGTTGTTAAGTGAATTCTGGCTTCCCCATTGACTTTGTTTGTCAGAAGGATGCAAAAGGTGATCTCATGATCATAGGATACCGTAACCATCATAAATATGAGCCAGTTGCCAAGCATCTGACTTTTGATCACATGACCATAGGGACCCTGCAATGGTGATAAGTGTGAAAAACAGTCCAGTCACTTTTTTCAGGGCCTTTGTAACTTTGAACGTTCAATAAACGAACTGTTATAAGTCAAGGACCATCTGTATTCTGTTAGGTAAAGGTAACGGTTCCCCTCGCACATATGTGCTAGTGGTTCCCGACTCTAGGAGGCGGTGCTCACCTCCATTTCTAAGCCGAAGAGCCAGCGGTCTGAAGATGTCTCTGTGGTCATGTGGCCAGCATGACTAAACGCTAAAGGCACAAGGAGCACTGTTTCCTTCCCACCAAAGGTGGTCCCTATTTTTCTACTTGCACTTGCTTTCAAACTGCTAGGTTGGCAGAAGCTGGGAAAAGTAACGGGGGAGCTCACTCGATTACGCGGAGCTAGGGATTCAAATCGCCAAACTGCCCACCTTTCTGATCAACAAGCTTAGCGTCTTAGCCACTGAGCCACCATGTCCCGCATTCTGTTAACAGATCCTTTAGCATGAAGAACCCCGATTCTAGTACTCTGCTATTGTACTTTTATGTCTAGTTAGCCACCTTTCCACAATCTGGTGTCCTTGGTCTTAACATGTGGAGGACAGTAGGAAAAATGATTTTTTAACTGGATAACTGGATGGGATGGATAGGTTTTGGCACAGCTGCCCTGTGAAGTAGCTTTCCTGTTTACTGCTTCTCATTTTGAATAGCAAGACCCTTGTTTTATTATTCAATCCAGACACTTTTGAAGCTGTTCTCCAGGTCATATTGGCAAAATCTGCAAAGGAATTTTGCAGCACATCCACGAGTTAGGCACCCTGGATTCCTTGGATCCTGAACAAAAGGGGTTATGATGAAATGAGGAAGGGAACCCCTCGTGCTCGGCCCCGTCCTCTAAAGCCCAGCCGGCTCGTACCTTCGAGGGAATCCCTCCTTTCGGGTTCTCCTTTGGCGTCGTCGCGCTGCAATTCTTCTCCACGTGAGCACCGCGCCCCTCCTCCTCCTCCTCTTCCACTCTTTCCTAAGCTCCTGGAAAAATGCGGCCGGCAGAGAGGAGGGAATAGGTGGGCGTCGCTGCCGGACACATGATGACCTGAACCGTCCAGTGCCACTTCTTGGCTGCAGCTGTGGATAGGGCCGCGCTGCGCCGCCCGGTCCAGATCTGGGTCATTGTGACTGGGGAAAGGCGTCAACTGGCGAGGCAGAGCTGGATTGTTCCTGCAAAGGGAAGCGCAGCGGCTGGGAGTTGCTGGGTTCCCGCCGCACTCGCAGGAAAGTCAAGAAGCAATTTAGACTTCAAAGGAAAATCTATTTAGGAGCAGCCCATCCTCTGCGGGCCCAGAAGCGAAGGCCACGCCAGACAGAATCAGAAAGCAGTTAAGCAATCAAACGCCCCGCACTCGCTCAGCGGTATTGTTTAAATCCAGATTCTGAAGCCGAGCCCTTGTTTCAAGAGACAAGGTATTGGGGGCCGAGGGACGCGCCTTCTAGCTCTCCCTTGCCCTCCCTTCCCCGCCGCTTTGGCCCTAAACGGTGTCGGGAAAGCAGTAACAACGGTGTCGTATGACAAGCCGGTCCCAACTAACATAATATTAACATTCACTATTTTTGGAGTACTATTTTATAAATGAAGACTATGTGTATGTGTGCGCCCCCTTCCCCCCCCCCCCGCCTAGAGTCTCTGTGGTGAGATGAGCGGGGACAGAAATAGCTTACAGAAAACAAACATATATTTTAATATTCTCCTTCTCTAGCAAAAAGACAAGCACAGAAACCTAATCTGGTATCTTTCCTTGCATGCCTTGCAATTATTCAACTCTCTCCCCCCCCTCCTTTCCAAATTTTATCAATCATAATTTCTTTGGCTACATTTGAAAGACTCACTTTGAAAGGAGATGGGCAGCAAATGGATCTTATAGATAAATTTTAGAGAAGTCATGATGTCAAATGAATTAGCAACATTTGTCTATTTGACACTTTCTCGCTGCGCTTCCAGTCATTATTTTTGGGGTGATCAAGCTAGTTGAGAGACAGAACCCATCAGAACAGCAATAGATGATCTTCTGTGCCTTTGTCCTGCTTACCAGAGTTCTATCAGTGTTTGAAGGATGAGAAGTTTTGTTGTTCTGCTACCTATTGAGTGCAAACCTTGACCCTAATTAGGACTCAGAAGCAGTGGTGAAATTGAGGTTTTTTTAGTACCCATTCTGTAGGGGTGGCTTGGTGGGCTTGGCAGGGGAAGGATACTTCAAAATCTCCATTCCCACGCCATTCCAGGGGAAGTTTACTGCAAAATCCCCATTCCCTCCTGACTCCTGGGGGAAGGATATTGCAAAATCTCCATTCCCAACCCACTGTGAGGCCAGCCACAGGTGGTGTTTGCCGGTTCTCCGAACTACTCAAAATTTCCACTACCGGTTCTCCAGAACCTGCTGAATTTCACCCCTACTCAGAAGATATGATTGGCCAAAGTCCCCCAGATGGATTCCATGCCTAATAGAGGTCCAGCATCTGGACCTCCATATTCCTCGTCCAGCACCTTGAGACGTTTCTTAATCTTAGCAACTTTAAGATGTGTGGACTTCAACTTTCAGAATTCCATGCTGGCTGGGAGATTCTGGGAGCTGAACTCCATGTGCATTTANTCACGTACGCGCTTTCGTCGAGCGCGCTTTTGTCTACCGCGGTTTTGTGGTGGAACCCCCCCCACCACCACCACCACCACTAACCGGGCCGTTTCCTTGTGGGCTTGCAGAAGGAGGCGGTGTGGAAGAAGCCCCACCAGCTGAACATGGAAGGGGCCCTGATCGCCCGCGACAGGGTCGGCGTTCAAGATTTCGTCCTGCTCGACTCTCACACCAGCGAATCGGCCTTCTTGGACAACCTGCGCAAGAGATACCGGGAGAACCTCATCTACGTAATGAAACATGGAACAGCCATTTGGAAGAGGGGGTGTTGCCTGCCTTGGGGAGGGGAAGAGGGTGCCGGAATAACATTATAGACCAGAGGTCTTGGATTGAATCCGAGAGGCTGCTGCCTCTTCAGGGTTCAAGGGAGAATTTGAGAGCCAGAAGACAACCCCTCGAGGGGTGTGAGGAAATGGGGGGGCTGTGCCCCTCTCCTTGATGGGCGGCTGGTGCGCCCAACCAGCTTCAGCCCTCCCTCTGGCCCTGGGGTAGGAATTGGGGTGGCTGAGGAGGCGACTCTGGTTGGCCCTGAAAGGACACCTGGCTGTGCGGCTCTCAGGCCCTCCGGAGAGGCTCTTGGGCAGGAGGAGTACCAACCTCCGTGGGCCTTGGATGGTGACACTGCCACCACCACCCCTCTTTTGCTCTGAGGATCACGCGCTGATTGGCAGCCTGAATTCTTCTTGCTTCTCCCTCCCCCCCCCCCCCCAGACGTACATCGGGACCCTCCTGGTCTCTGTGAATCCCTACAAAGAGTTGGACATCTACACGGCTAAGCAGATGGAGCAGTACAAAGGGGTCAACTTCTTCGAGCTGCCACCGCACATGTGAGCAAAGATGCCAGGCCATTCCCTGCCCTGTGGGGCCTTCCGTGGGCCCAGAGGGCACCCTCCCTTCGTATCGATCCATCCACCCAAGCTTAAGGGGAATTTAAAGCACAGAAAGATAGCCTCCCCCCAATAATAATTATACACAGGAAGTATAGTCCGAGTGCTGGTTGGGGATTATGGGAGTTGAAGCCCCAGCTGGAACACAACAACACCCCGTTGTGTTATCCTTGCCCACGGGGGAAGCTCTCCCTCTCCTCTCTCCCCCCTTGCATCTCCTCCAGCTACGCCATCGCAGACAACGCCTACCGGCTCATGTGCACCGAGTACAACAACCACTTCATCTTGATCTCCGGGGAAAGCGGAGCTGGGAAGACTGAAGCCTCCAAGAAGATCCTCCAGTTCTTCGCCATGACCTGCCCTACCACCGAGCAGCTCCAGATTGTCCGCGACCGCCTGCTCCTCTCCAATCCCGTCCTGGAGGTGCCGGCCTGGGGATGCGGGGCTCTTGGTCCCCCCGTATGGTGGAGGGGCTTCCCCTGAAGGCCGCCTGGCTGGGCAGGGAGAGGAGGGGGAGGCTCAGCCGCTCTTCAATTACCCCCAACTCTCTTTCTCCCACAGGCCTTTGGAAATGCCAAGACGTTACGGAACGACAACTCAAGTAGGTTTGGGAAGTACATGGATATCCAGTTTGATTTTAAGGTACAGCTTTTGAAATATTTGGGGGGTTTAAAAAAACACCTTGCATTTTTAAATCTTTAATCCGGAGTCATGAAATGTAGCCCACCTTGTGGAATCTTTTATTTATCTGTGGCAGCCCCGGCCCTCTGGAATGAACTCCCTGCAGGGATTCGGACCCTCACCTCTCTCGAGGCCTTCCGAAAAGCCGTCAATACCTGGCTTTGCCGGCAGGCCTGGGGGTGATGAGTTCCCCTCCCCTCTCGACTTGTGTGGTTGTGTGACTGTTGTTTTCTTTTATTATTTGTATGCCACCCTTCTCCGGGAGGACTCAGGGCGGCGAACAATTCAAAGGGGAAAA